ACTCAGCAGCTCATGTGTACACTTCAGTTAATTTATGGACATATTAAACATGACATGCATGTTTGTCTTGGAACACAAACATGACTTTTACTGAAGCCTAAATGTTAAGAGCACATACTATTATTAAAATTACCACTCTGATAAGGTCGATAAAATGCAAAAAAGAGCTCAAACTTCTGGTGTTTTATCAGCAGAGTTTTTATCAGCAGCATCTTTTGTTGAATCTATTGACCAGCAAAAATTGATTTTTCTGTCTCTTCTATAGTCTACATAACTTTTGTAGCTGAAGCAATTTAGTAATTAAACAGCCCCAGGAAAAAAAACAAGAATCAAATGTCAGAATGGGTGGAAATCCTGGGATTATCTCATCTGCACAACCTCTTTATCAAATAACAGCTGAAATGCAACCTCAGTATGAAATGCAGACAGTAATATAAGAGAACTCCTGAGTTGAATTCAGTCTTAACTGGGAAAAATTTGTCTTTGCTCATAGAACTGCCTTACCATCCACCTTTTATTGAACCCTGTGGCTCATTGGAGCTCAGAATAAAACCATGATTTTTCCTCATGTGTTAGGAAACTGAACTTCTCTACCCTGATCCACTTTGCCCAAAGGTCACAGGTAGATCACATCAGAGATGAACTGGAGTCTTGTACCACATTTCTCATACAATACCACAAAAGAAGTGAACTTAATAGCAGCTCCTTGATTAGTTGAAAGTTTGACCACATTCTTTCTTGGATTTCATTATGCCAATTCATAACCTTTGCATTCTGTCAGTATTAAAAATGGTAATTTGAAAGAAAACAGATCTAGAAAAGTTTACTAATAGGAATATTTGATTTTTCAAGATCTTTATTTCAAATTCTACCATAGACTAAGTTCACCACTTATCCAAAAATTACATGAAGTTTTAGCATTCTCCCTAAAATACAAACAGCTATTATCCCACAATCTTAAAGCATGAGAAACTTAGGATAAAGATGAACCACTCTGCAGAAACTGTAAGGACTAGAGATGGGCAGGGGGATCCAAATACTTTTTGCGGGGGGAGTATGTGCTCTGTTTGCATGTTCCCTTTGTTCCATTCATTTCACCAGATGTTTACAGAACACCTGTGCTGTGCTCAGTTATCACCTCTAAGCAAACAGAATAATGTTTGGAGTGTGACTCACACCTTGAAGTCCACTTCCTTTTAGAAAAATTATCTTGTATTCTGTAAATTTTAGCAGGGAAGAATCTTACTGCAATTACTCAATGCCTAAAATTTGAAATGAATAGAAATAAGACCATATACTGGGAACACTTCAATATTGAAATGTTCTTTCTGAATTACCACTTTTCTTCCTCTTAAGTCACATATCACTGACCCACAGCAAAACTCCAGGTTCCTATCAGTTGTTCCAATCTGGATCAAAGCTGGTTGTTTAGTGGCTGGACAGATCCTGATAGAGTACCTACTATGTGTCAGGCACTCTTTCAGTCTTGGCTCAGAGTTACAAGTAGGATGGACCAAGTATTCCACAACTCCTCCATGTTTGTGGGGGTGGGCAGAGAAAAAAAAAAACATGAAAAGCAGGATGATTTTAATTAGTCATAAACATTATGAAGGAAACAAAAGACCTACAGAAATCTAAAAATAGGCATGAGGACTGGATACCATGATTGATCAGGAGAACAGGTTCTCCAAGGAGGTAGCATTTAAGCTCAGATCCTGAAGAGGGTTCCAACTCTCAATATTCTCCGAGTGAAGTCATGAGACCCCAGCTGAAAGAACCACCAGGATTTGTGCTGCCAAGGCAAGGCTACTCTGTTCTTAATTGATGGCCAGACTTCCTAGAGACTGAAATGAGTAACACTGAGGAAAGGTGGGGCAGCTACTGGAGACAGAAGCAACATTGTGATTTAGTTCTTTGGTGGATTGCTCATGCTTTCATCAGTAGCATAACCACACCTTAGTTCTTGGAGAATGCAGAGTGCGAGCCAGGGCACTCTGAGCCTGGAGCTCCAGTACCAGACCAGCAGCCAGGCGTGTGAACCAGCACACCCAGCGCTCCCACACGGGGAAGCTGTTTACTCTTCTCAGAGGACACAGGGTTAGACACAGTTAAATCCATAATCATTATCAGCCAGATCAACTCGTTCTAACCGACCTACTTTCGTCATATTTTTCCCCAACAATAGTTCAACGGCCTGTGAATGTTTTGCCTTCAGAAGCAAAAGATTTTCTTTTTTAAATAGATCATTTCATGGTCAAAGGAAGCTTTTGTTGCTTCATAGCCTTACTCCCCTTTTATTCGTATTGCTCGATAAAAGTTTTAAAAAGTATTTGATGCAGCCACTGTGTAAGTAAAACAAAAATTGCTGACAGAAAATTTATTCTAAGTACATGTTAACCCCAACAGTGACATGGTTTCTGGGAACATATATTTGTGACTATATTAAGAGATGAACTTTCACAGATGCTAAAATTTTGACTATTTCTCAAAAATCAATCAGTGCTTAGAAGAGACCTTAAGATACAGTTTCAGGCTGGGCATGGTGACTCACGCCTGTAACCCAGTGACTCTAGAACTGAGGAAAGGGATCACAAGTTTGAGGCCATCCTCAGCAACTTAACAAGATCCTTAGCAACTTAGCGAGATGGTGTCTCAAAATGAAAAATATAAAAAGGGCCGGTGATGTAGTTCAGTACTAAAGTACCCCTGAGTTCAATCTCCAGTACTGCTACTACTACTACTAATAATAATAATAATAATGATACAGAGTTTCAGGTAAGACATGGCTTCTTTCTTTGGGGAAAGTCTAAAAGGAACAGTAATTATTACCACTATAAGATTGTATAAAATAAAGCTCATTTTAAGTTATAAACCAAACAGACTATAGAGATAAAATGGGCCAGCAGGACAGGCTAGAGTCAGCAAGGAGTGCTTGACAGAAGAAATAGAACTAGAACGTGAAGAATTTGAAAGAGTGAAAGTGAAGTACTTTAAGTGAGGGAAAGATCAGGGCACATGCCCAAAGCAGAACTTGGGCTGAAACACTTCCATGAACAGGGTGGAGATGTGAGTATATGCAGCTGTGGTCCATTTGGGGAGCTATTTGGAAATGGTCAGATTGATATTGCACCATGCCTATGATGGGCACAGCAAGGTGCATCAAGTACAGATGTCTGCTGAAGGATTTTGTAAGAGTTTAACTGATATTGATCTTTCTGCACTTCTCAATGTACCCAGGCACACTGTTGGTCATTTGTAAATATTTGTAATATTTCTAACTTGAATGATGTCACAATGACTCATGGAGTATGTGAGTGAATTTGAGCATAAAGACTGCCAAAACCTCCTTCTCCAACATAAAGTTATTGCAAGGTCATTGAGACACCATCAAAAACAGAGGAACATCAAGATTTACTAAGTTCACATCCTTCACTTCATGAACATTTCAGAGAGAAATAAATTTCCCTGAATTCTATCTAGTCAATTTATTCTTGATGCTTTTCTCAGAGAAGATGAAGAATTCATTAGTCAATTTCATATCCCAGCAAATTTATTTTTTTCTTAATGTGTACTTTTTTCATCTTGAATTTCTACTTGCACTTTTGTGTCTCTAAAACCTGTAACCTTACATCTATTGAAGACATGAGTGTAAATTGTATCTCTACTGAGGTTTGTTTGTCATGTTCATAGAAGCCAAAGTTCACCTTCAGTTATGGATTAACTCTTCACCAGGAAATATTTTTATATGAATACATATCTTGGAATACAATGAACTCCTTTTTCTCTTCTGGCTTGAGTCATTCCAGAATGAGTGCCTTTGATAATTCTAGAAACCCACAAATCTGAGTTAGTCTTGGATTGTAAAGAGAGAATTGGCCTGGCCCAGCCTTTTGGGCTAATACCACAAGTAAAATAACAAAAAATCCATGTTTAAACCATAATGAATATGAGCGGAACTTCTAGTGGCCAACCAAGACCAGGCACACAGATCTTTAGAGGATCTACTTCTATCCAGTTCCAACAGGAACAGGGGCAATCATGAGAGTTCTCTTCCCTAAGCTACTATGTAGTTGATGTTATAAAGGGTTCTCATTAAATTCTGGGGCATACGAAAACATCCTGCTCTATGGCTGTGGAAACAGATTTCTCTGAAATATCTTAGAATTGGCAAAAGGACTACACACTTAGATGGCTCTTAGGGGAGTCCCAGGACATTTTTATATCCCAATTTTGATTAGAGTGTCCCTGACATATCTAAAACAAATACTTAGATCTCCAAAAATATTTGTAGCCTTCATCTTATAAGTTGTGTCACCCTGTGCAGCAGCACCCTTTTCAATTCAGGGAATACTAGGTCAGTTTGGTTCTTGTTAATAGTAAAAGTAATAGTCCATATTGCTTGTGCCAGTGTAGTCATGAGGAGTGTAGCCTTTCCTGTACTCTTAACCCTTTTTTGTAGACTTCAATTTCTTCATCTGTAAAATAAGAATAAAAATAGTAAGGCTGTTGTACAGTGTTCTTAGCTTTTGCTAATTAATGTTGAATTTTTTTATAATGATGCCTAGCACAGTATAACTCAATAAGTAGAAGTCCCATGATGCTGATGAGATGTATTAATTTCTATACCTTCTCCTTTTCCCTACCCCTTAGTGTGGATATACATTCCCATGTAAACTATTAACTTGACAAGAGAGAATCTCTCTCTCAGCAGAGACTTTGACATTCAATACACTATTTTCTGGTAGCTTGGTTAGAGTCAGGGATACAGAGGGAATTTTATGGACCCTTTTTCTGATGCATCTGGCAGAAAGCGAGTTCTTTGATTATGACTCCTGCCGATGGTCAGCAATTTCCAAAGAGATCCTGAGATCAAGTATACTTGTATTTTATTCTGTGGATTTAAAATCGTAGACTGTAACAGACAGTATCCACATGAATTTGGAGTTTGTTAAGAATGTAGAATAACTGGCATGTCTTTCCTGTCTCCCTCTTCCACATAGGTTAACCTCAGAGCCACAGATGTCAGACTTATGCGTCAGTTGCTCCTCATCAATGAGAACATCGAGTCCATCAAGTGGATGATGGAGGAAAAAGCCACCATCACTAGCCGAGGCAGCAGTCTCAGTGGCAGTCTGTGCAGCCTGCTGGAGAGCCAGAGCACCTCCTTACGCGGCAGCTACAACAGCCTGCAGGATGGCAGTGATGGGCTAGATGGCATCTCTGTGGGAAGCTACCTGGACACTTTGGCTGATGATGTCCCAGGCCATCAGACCCCTTCAGACTTGGACCAGTTCAGTGACGGCTCCATCATAGAGGACTCACAAACCCTACACAAGCCTCCTAAATTGGATTCTGACTACTACTGCTTTGGCTAATGACCCAGTTTTTTGCATGGGACTGGTGTGCAATTAACTTGTATGTATCCTTCTTCTCCGCTGCTATATTTTTTGTGTGATTTTGTAAAATAAGACAACCTTTTAAAAGAAGCTTATTTTTAAACTGCTTAATGACATTTCTGTTGCTCCTAATATTTCTCATCTAGACTGATTTATTTTTCTCTGTTACATCTCTATTTTTATTTATTAAAATGATTTTCCTCCCTTCTTTTAGAGTAGCACAAACAAAGTAGGGGGAAAAGAATAAGCAATAATTATGTTTTTGCTTTTGTTTTCAGAGCAAGGGGTCAGGGATTACAAGGAAAACTTTACTAAATTTTACAATAAACCAAAGTATGAAAACTGTTAATTTTGTTGCTGTGTCCTTAAATGATTCAAGATTTTATCTTCCAAAAGATACTGAGATCTATTACTGTTTGTAGATTAGGTTGCACAAACTTCTTGAACAAAATCAAGGGTGCCAATTATGGCACACTTTTACATGCCAGCATTGGAAAGCCCCCAAGTGTAAGCAACCTGATCACTTCACCTTTTTGTTGATACTACACATTAGGATTTTGTCATCAGTCATTTTAACTCATATATTAGACATATCTGTCTGACAATATGTATTAGTATTTCAAATTTTGAGGAATATTGAGATCAGGTATGATGGTGATTAAAGGCAAATATGCCCTACATTTGAGATTTTGTTGGCGTTTTCTTATAAGCACTTTGCAATTCTACTGGGATGTCTAAACATATATGTGTATCTACAGATGGATAGATAGACAGCCACACAGGTAACAGATATCATAGGAAATCAGCATCTTTATCCACTTATGAAGTCCACTTATGATATTTTTTCATCCTGGGAAGGATAAATAGTCTTTTAATTTTCTGAAATGATACTGGAAATATTATAACTTATGCAGTGAGTGAAAATTTTAATTTTGATATTTTTAGTCCTCTACAAATTTTTATCTAGATGATTCCTAGTGAGACAATTTAATTAAAATTTCAAGCTGTTCTTTGTTACAATTTACAATATGAATCAAAAAAGTTTTCTCGCTTGTAAATGAGAAGTTTCCTTTTATTCTATACTCATTGCACACCTGGAAACTTATCATTTGTTTCCAAGACATATATTATTCAATTTACAATTAAAAGCTCTCAGTGCACATATTTTTCATTAGTTTTTTCCCTAAATTCTTAGGTATAATCCTCATCACTATAATCCCATAATGTCAGGATTGTCACTATTATAAGTTTAAGGAAACTGTGGCACAAATAATGTGAGTCACTGCATTAAATCTTCCACTAAATGTCCAAAATAGAATTTGAATTTGACTCTGTTGTATTCCTATCACTGATACTCAATAACCTCTTTGCTTATTGACTTAAAATAATAAATGTGAGAAAGCAAATTTAAACCCATGATAAAAAAGTGTAGCAAACTATTTTCTGGTAGTATCGATGTTTTCCTATACTGAATCTACCAAGCTCTTTCTTGAAATCACGTGTACCAAATCAGTGTTATGCCTAGTGATGACTCAGAGAGGGAGCCACACAACAATGGTTTCTAACATAATCCTTTCTCTCTGTGTACTTTTATTTTCAACTCAGTAAAGGGTGGTTGGCTGGTTATTTGTTTGATTTTAATCTGGAATCAAACCAAGAAGTTTTTAGCACAGATTGTTTATCATATTAAAATTCAAGAGCACACATTGTGACCCAACAGAAAAAAACAACCTCAGAACCAAGACCAATGAATTTCAAACAGAAGGTAGTGAAATATGTAACCATATGTCTACAGCACAGCAAAAAAAAAAAAAAAAAAAAAATCCTTCACAAGAGGAAAGTGAGCAGACAGCAATGCAAGAGGAAAAAAGAGTGAATTCTAACCTCTTTAAGACTCAACATTTGGCTACAAGAAGCTATGTATGTAAAAGACAATTTCTGCTCAGATCATAGATTCAGACTATGAATTCAGTATGAAGATTTTTTAAAATATATTTTTCTTTTCCAACCAGCTTCCCTGATATTCGTCCATACCTTCTATAAATTGACCTTGTATAGAATAGAAACTTTAAAAAATTATGAGTATTATGTAGAAGAAATGTATAGAATAGTTTTCAGTTAGAAATTATATTTTAAGAAAACTATAATGGACATTGGCAGAATATCTGAGAATAATTTTTAGCTCCATTAATAGTAAAAATTTTAAAGTTTATATGCTTTATATTTATTCCAACTTGTTTCACAAGAGATAGCAAATATTGATTGTATATACCAATAATGTTTTCATAGTTGATTTCATTAAGAGGAGGAGAATATGGTAATAAACAAGATTAATTACTAACATATTAATTGGTCTGAAGACAATGAATGCAAAGAAGTGCCTCAATTAAAATTGAAACTGAAGTTTAAAACTCAAGAATCCCTACAACTAATCTTGTACCTGAAGCACTTCATGTTTCATCTCTGTCAGCCCTATCAGGAAACAAGATAAAAAGTTAAAGCAAAGGTGTTGTGCAAACTCTTCTGCCTGCAATGAGTTATGTCTTTCCAGAGAAAATGGAATGTGCCTGAGTTACATTAATCTATTTTATGGACTTGTTAGTCTCCTATTGCAATGAAAATAATTGAATGTAAGGAATTCAGATAACTTAAAGCTAATACATTTCTCTTTGGCATTTTGCAAATTAAGGAGCTCTAGATCACCAATCACCTTAGAAGCCTTCACTTCAAGGAAATCCTCCTGTTTATCCTACCAGTCAGACTCAAATTACAAAGTACAAATTTTTAAGCATTAGTCAAGTTTAGAAATGCAATGAAGAGTCAGCAAGGGCTGTTGGATACATGATAAAGGCACTTGGGTCACCATGAAGAATTTTAGGCATTTGCTTCCCCAACACATCAAAACACAATCAAACCACCTCCATGATGCCAAAACAAGATTATTTCAAGATCCTCATCTTACTAACATCTCATCAGCAGTTTGGCACATTGGATGGTGTCTTTTTGGAAGAATGTCTTCACTTGGCTTCCAGTGACATCATTTCCTCTTGGATTCCCTCATTGCCCACTGCCTTCTTGCTCACAGATTCCTTTTCTGTTTCTCTTCTTCATTTTCCTGACCTCCATAAAGCAAGAGTGTTCCAGAGCTAAATACTCTTCCAAAACTGTTTCCCCCAAACCAAGGAATTCACCTAATTACAGAGTTCTAAATGATGTCTATATGCTGAGATTTCTGGATGTTTATCTTGTGTCCAGTCTCCCTTCTTAACTTCAGTCTTCCATGTCTACCTTTCTTCAGAGCATCTCTACTTGATATCTGATAAGCACCTCACTCTAAACATTTCCAAAACTGTGAGAAATCTTACCCAGTTTTGTTAAGTGATGACTATCTTCATCAAATTCTGAGCCTGTTTTATTCAGCTTTCATTGCTGTGACCAAAATACCAGACAAGAAAAACAGAGAAAGAAAAGTTTATTTTAGCTCATGGTTTCAGAGATTCAGTCTGTGCTCAGCTCACTCCATAGCTCTGGGCCCAAGATGAGGCAGAACATCATGGTGGAATTGAATGGTTAAAAAAAACAAAAGAAGCAGCAGCAGCTAAGGACATGGCAATCAGGAAGCAGAGAGAGAGAGAGAGAGACAGAGAGAGACAGAGAGAGAGAGAGATAGTGTTCCACTCACCAAGAACAAAATATAAACCCCAAAGGCACACCTCCAGTGACCTTCTTCCTGCAGCCACACCTTACCTATCTACAGTTACCCAGCTCGTTAAGCCATATCAGTGGATTAATCCACTTATTGGGTTACAATTTTAATAATCTAATCAATTTATCTCTGAATGTTCTTGCATTGTCTCACACATGAGCTTTTGAGGGACATCACATACCAAAACCATAACACAACCCAAATCCTTAAAGTCGCTCTTATTCTCTTTCCTTCAAACAATATCCAACACTATTCTCTCCACTTCAGATGTAGATTGGGATTACAACAAATTCTCACCACAACCTCTCCTGTCACTCTAACATATCTCCCTGGGACTACTGCAATCTTGTTTCTTTGCTTTCATCCTGATCTTGTCACTGTCAGTGCTTAACACAACAGAGTGATTTTACAAGATAAAACTCATATTTTGCCAGCCTATATCTCAAGCCTGTAATGGATTTCCATCTCTCTTGGAGTCTAACCCAGTTTTTTACTGTGGACTACGAAATCCTGGGCAGTCTGTCATCCTTGTGCCTATCTGGTCTCATCTGGTATCATCCCTCTCTCTTTTTTGTGAAGCCTCATTTGCATCCCTGTTATTTCTTAAAAACCTCAAAATCCTGTCCAGTATGGCAGTTCATGCTTGTAATTTCAGGGTGCTGAGGCAGTAGGATCACAAATCTGAAGGCAGCCTGGGAAACTTAGTAAGACCAGTCTCAAAAAAAAATCAGTAAATAAATAAAAAAGCCTAGGGATATAACTCAGTGGTCAAGTGCCCCTGGGCAAAATCCCCAGTAATACAAACAAAAAGCCTCCTCAAAATGTTTATTCCAACCTCAGAATGTTTGCACTTCTCAGTTCTTCTTTCTGAAATGTTCTTCTGCTCTTTGTTGGTAAACCTTGATTCACAGTCCTTTATCTGCAATCAAATGGCAGCTTGCCTGAGAAGACTTCTTCCATAATAAGCTGACACTTCCTGTGCTCTTTACTATGGTTTACTTTTCCTCATAACCCTTACTGTCATTATTGTATATTGTGTGTGTGCTCTTTGCTTCTCTACACTAGGATGCAATGAAAATAAGTTAATTCTGCTCATTTCCACATGTCCCATCGCCTAGAATAACATCTGTCACACAGTAGGTACCAGATAAATATTTTTTGACTGTAGCAATTTTTGAACATTTGCTGAATGTCTTCTAGGCACATTTGACTGTGCCAGGTTGTGGTGATGCAGAGGTGAGGAAGATATAAATCCCATCTTCAAGGAGCTCATTTGTTCAGTGGGTTTCTCTGGTAGGAAGAATATGTTCCTCATTTCCACCCTGGAGCTGCCCATGTCCTAATCAGTGACCATGTGAATATATTACCCTGCATGGCAAAAGGGACTTTGAAGATGTGATTAACGACTTTGGAATAAAGACCCTGGATTATCTGAGTGAGGATTATAACTGAGAGGAAAGACTGTCATAGAGAGAGAGAGAGAGAGAGAGAAAGAGAAAGAAAAGGAGAGAGAGGTGTTGAAAATGTTCTAGTTAGCTCTTCTGCCACTGTCTCCAGAAGACCTGATAAGATCCATTTTAAAGGAGGAATAGTTTATTTGGTACTCATAGTTTCAGAGGTCTC